AGGCGGAAGCTCCGGCTCTGAGGGGAAGGTGAGGCCGCGGCTTCTCACACAGGCTGAGGGGTCCCTCGGAGAGGGGTCTCGGGCTTCCCCCGGCCCTATCCCGTCGCTTCGGGGGGAGGTGGTTTTCCTTGAGAATTTCCTAGTGGTTTATTTGGGTGTTGTTTTTTTTTTTCCGGGCTGAATTCAAGAGCTGGGTGACAGATTTGACGTGAAACATCCTTATAGGAAAAGTATAAAGCAGTTCCCATGGCTTCTGGGCAAGGCAGGTGTAATACACAACATATATCTGTATAAACTGAGCTGAAGTAATTGTTCTTTCCACTGGAAGTATGGTTTGCTTTGTGTTTGTTTTTTTTTTCACAGTATTTTGAGTATTATACTGAAGCCAAAGCAGTAAAACTACACAGAGTATATAAATAACACAATTTGAGAGAATATTCATGAAGACCTTTTGTGGAAGAGCTAATCCCACCACTGGTGCATTGGAGTGGCTGGAAGAGGATGAGGACTACGACTACCATCAGGAAATTGCAAGGTAGGCCAGAAAAAGTAGCTGCTTGTTCCACTAAGGCTACAAAAAAAACCCAAAAAAAACCCCAAACAAACTGTTTTTTATGACAACCTTTTAGTTTATCTCTGTAGAAATCTCAAGGGCTGAAAATGACATTATTACTCAGCTTTGGGAAATGAACAAGTGCCAGTTATCTGTGCATTTATGGGCCATGGGGACCAGTTGCTTTAGTAAGGGAAAACAAAGGAGGCTAAATAAGCTCGAACAGTTGTGTTGTGCTTTGCAATATGTAGTATTTTGACTAGAATGTTTTTAATTGTAGGTCACGCTATGCAGATATGCTTCACGATAAAGACAGAGTAAGTATAGAAGCAAAAAACTTTTGAATGGCAAGAAAATACCCATTTCTTTTTCCTTGAAGAGCCGTCACTGCAGAATTATACAGGTTTCTCTGAAAGATGATAACATTTGTACCCTTTAAGACATCAGACCTACTCTTAGATCAACAGATGCCTTCTTACATTTAACTGTTGTGTTCTGTTTACTGCAGAACATAATACATTCAGTAGCTGATCTTGCTGTTCTGTGTTTCACATTTTTGACAGGGACAGTTCATTAGGTGAAATTTCAGAAGCTGTAAATGTGAATCTAGGCTGCTTAGTTCTGATAGGAATGTAAGTAAAGTCTATTCTTAGCTTTTATTTACTGCTTAGGTTTGAGAAGAAAGTTGAAATACCACATCTACAGGCATGACAAAGTCTGAAGTGAATGCTTTACGTTTTCTTTCTGCAGTAGTAATTTCCTTAACCATTGAATCAATAACCTTTTTAAAGACTTATGTGAGTCTTGAATTAATGTTGAATTGAAACATGCCAGTGAGATCAGGCATTTAATAAGCCATGTAGAGATAGCAAGTTATGGCTAAGTAATTAAAACAACTCTACTGGAAATAAAAATCAAAAGCGCTGTATATAGGTAACTGATCAATGACAGTGTGAATATAGTGATTACAAATTGTTGCACTTTAAATGGACTGATCCCTCCAAAAACACCTGCTGTTGCTGAAGATGGCTTTGGTGTGACTGTATAGCATAAAGAATGTCCATAGGCCTTTTTCTAATCAGAAACTCCTAGTCAGAGAAAGTAAGATTTCTAAATTAAAGCTATAAATGGATAAAAGGTTGCTGGTTTATTTCTTCTTTTTTTTTTGTCTTCTCCACAGAATGTGAAATATTACCAAGGTATTCGTGCTGCAGTGAGCAGAGTGAAGGAAAGAGGTGAGAAAGCAATTGTTCTAGACATAGGGACTGGCACAGGACTCCTCTCTATGATGGCAGCTTCAGCAGGGGCAGACTTCTGCTATGCCATTGAGGTAAGTCTTTGAGATGGGTTGCACATGCTTCTGCATAGCTTCTTTTTAGAGCTTCAGTGCTGTCCTGTTTGCATGCTCAGTGGAGTGGGTGCATTTCTGGTTTGTTTTGTGGCTTCTGAAGGGCAAACCTGATACTGTGTCAGCCACACAGGTCTTAAACAGGTATTGTTTGGGACAGTATCTGTAAATGTACGGATTGAAATGACTGAGTTTTATAGTAGTCTGTCTTCTCTACTTCTTAGCAAAACTTAAGTGCAGTATGGAAAACTTTAACCAAGTTTTTTAAAAAGTGAGTATTCTCTAGCCATATTGCTAAGTTTCAGCTTTGAAGGTGGGACTCTCCAACCACATAAAATAGTAATAAAGAGGCTGTCTCATAAACTGAATTTTTCATCTCTTTGTGATGAGGTAGAGCAACTCATTTTCTTTATTAGCAATTAAGAAACTTACCGCTTTTGCCATTTCCAGGTTTTCAAGCCCATGGCTAATGCTGCTGTGAAGATAGTGGAGAAAAATGGTTTTCGTGACAAGATCAAAGTCATCAACAAGCACTCCACTGAAGTCACCGTTGGCCCAGGTGAAAAAAATAATCTAGGGATAAAAATTTGGCAAGTACCTCAAAAACCACAATGGAATATGTCTTACTCTGGTTTTTCTGTATGTTTTTAATGAAAACAAGCACTTCTAAAGGAAGTATCGTTGTAGTACTTCAGTAGTCATTTGTGTTTCATAGTAAATTTCTAAAGGAAAATAATTTGCAGTCTTCAGCAGGTTCTTTCGCAGCACTAAGCTTTTTTTATTACTTCTGTTTTCAGGATGGCACCTGCTTTAAATACTTGTGTGTGACTAAGTCTTACTATTATTATATTGTGTCTTTTAGATGGAGATATGCAATGCCGTGCAAACATCCTGGTAACAGAATTATTTGATACAGAGCTGATAGGAGAAGGAGCTTTACCAACCTATGAGCATGCACACAAATATCTAGTACAGGTAAGAAAATTTATATTGGTTTATCCCTAGAGAAACTCTTCTGTCTTTTTTTTTGGAGTAGAGTAGAGATAATATTTGATTAACCCTCTGCATCCTTTGTAAATACACTATCAGCTGTGCTTATTTCTTATCCAGTGGCTAATTTACTAGATTCATGCCTAGGAAAAAAAATTATTTGAGCTCATATTTTAAATCATAGGCTCTGAAATTACATTAAGTTGCTTTGTGTTAAAACTGTGTTTCTTTTGGAAAAACTTAATGTTTTTTACTCTTTAAACATGGATACAAAGATGTCATTGCATAAATACTTGAGCCATTATTCTTTTATTTACCTTTTGCAGTCACAAGCTCTGGTTTAATGTTGATAGTAGTTTGATGATGTTGAGTAGTTTGCCTTGAGAAGCTCAAGATAGGTCTCTCATTTCAGAGTAAGAATGGAAATGCAAGTTTAACTGAGGCTAGTAAATGGATAATGTTGCATTGTTAATAAAGTAATCTGGCCTTTCTGTACCACACTGAACATGATAGATCTGTGTATCATATTTCACAGACAAAGTGCTCTGAAATACTTTGTGCTTGAGATTTCAAAGCTCCTAGTCCAGCTTTTCTTTAAATTGGTTCACATTTCAATTGATTTAATGCTTATGCATGTTGGTAAGTCAAATTTGTTGAATGCATTTACCCTTTGTTTTGAACACTCAGGAAGGATGTGAGGCAGTGCCTCACAGGGCAACAGTCTATGTCCAGTTAGTGGAATCCAAGCGAATGTGGTCCTGGAACAAACTGTTTCCTGTTCATGTCCAAGCAGATGATGGTGAAAAAGTTATTGTCTCCCCTTCAGAAATGGAGAACTGTCCAGGTGTTCCTTCTGTTTGTGATATTCAGCTGAACCAGATGCCTTCAAGTGACTTCATTGTCCTTAGTGATGTGGTGACAATGTTCAGGTAAGGTAGGGATTGTTTGGTTCAAAAAAAAAAGTTTCCTGCTCTGTCTTCATTGTAAGTTGTGTATGCAGCTTAGGAAGCTCATGAATGAGGAATGCTAAACTATTTCTATTTACAATTGTCATGCTTCTCTGCAGTGTGGATTTCAGTAAGCCAGTAAGGAGTGCTTCTACCTGCTACAGAGTGCAGCTGGAGCCTGTTAAATCTGGCAAGGCACAAATTGTACTTTCCTGGTGGGATATTGACATGGACCCCTCTGGGATGATAAATTGCACAATGGCTCCATACTGGGTAAAATCCACTTCTGCTTTCCAGGTAAAATACTGAGCCTTCAGATACTATAATCAGATGACTGCATGTTTTGAGTAAAGGCTATTGTAGATGTTTTAAGCAGCTGTCCCTTAAACTGCATAGGAACTTTGCTACTGTTTTATGTACTGGAAGATGCTAAATAAGCAAATAATAGAAATGTTAACTCTTAATTGTACCAGTTTTAGGTTTTTACATTAAAA